ACGATTACTATCGAAAATAATAATTGTAATTATTATAAATTATAACTGTTACAATCAAAGATGGTATCTGTAACAATTCTAGATTATAAAAATTCTGAAAGAAAAAATAATATAAATTTACGGAATTAAATCCTTTATTTAAATTCATATTTCAGCTAATGTACATTTTTTCTTTGAAATATTAAAATATTTTAAATTCCCTTCAAAATTTTTTTGAAAATTTGATTTTTTTGATTTAAAATTTTTTTTTTTAAATTTAATTTTTTTTTTAATTTGAATTTTATTGAAAATTTTGATTTTTTTGGAAATTTCAAATTCTTTTTGAAAAATTTGGCGTTGAAACTTGTTTTAGACAAATAAAAATTTATAAATATAATTTCAATTCGAATTTAATCCCGATTTTTTGTTCAATACACTGCACTACAGCTGCTTTTAGTTTATTCAGAAATGCATCCACGGTAACGCAGATTCTTAATTTCTTAAATATTTTTTACTAGCTTAAATAGTAGTTATTACTATTACTGATGGTAACTGCAACCATCAGGTTATATTAGGAATTACGATTTTGATAATAGTAGTAACTAATTAAAATAATAACAGTTATTATTACTGATTACCATCATAATAGTAGTAGTTACCATCAGGATGGTAAATACTACAATTCAGATAGTTTATTTAACTATTTAAATAATATTTACTACTATCGAAGTCAGTTAATAGATTTTAATATAACTAGATAATAAACTCTACTATAAAATTTTCTCCGTGTAGAGTTGTGGATTTATATATTTTTTTGTCAAATAAAACATCTGTAATTTTTTAGTATTAGAAGAGATATTCAGAACTCATTATAAAATATATTTTATTTTAAAAAGTTCCCGATGAAAAAAGTTTTTGTCTAATTATATATGATCATATATGAGAGCATATATAATCATACATGAGAGCATATATAATCATATATGATTATATATGCTCTCATATATAATCACATATGAGAGCATATATAATCATACATGAGAGCATATATAATCATATATGATTATATATGCTCTCATATATAATCACATATGAGAGCATATATAATCATACATGAGAGCATATATAATCATATATGATTATATATGCTCTCATATATAATCACATATGAGAGCATATATAATCATACATGAGAGCATATATAATCATATATGATTATATATGCTCTCATATATAATCACATATGAGAGCATATATAATCATACATGATTATATATA